TCGGATGACGAGCTCCCCGGAGTGGCATTTGTTACCAGACATAACGCAGATAATTTTCTCGAAATGGGGCAAACCAGAGATAGATTTGTTTGCATCGGCGAAAGCTCACGTAGTCCCCGCTTACGGGACTACTACAAAGCACAAATCCACGATGCATTCAGTCTAACTTGGCATTACAACCTAGCTTGGGTATTTCCTCCCCCATACTTAATCCCTCGTGTTCTAGCCCATCTAAATCGCTCGACAGGCACGTACTTGATAGTGGAGCCAAAGTGGCCGAAAGTGTTTTGGAGGCCGGACCTCAAAAATCGGGCCAAAGCAGCACCTTTCACAATCCAGGAACTGAACAGAGTCTTGATAGATGTGTCCACAGGCAAAGCCCCACCCAACATTCTCAACATGACCCTGGAAGTATGGAAATGTGGGGGTGGACGCAATACCTCCAGCATTGGTCCAAATCACAATTAGACTTTTTAAAATCTAGTTGGCGAGATTCTTCCCTAAAAACATACAAACCAGCGTGGCATAAGTGGTGTAAATGGTCTTGTGAAAATGGCGTAAACCTCATCCAACCTACAGGGTCAGATTTGGCAAGATTTCTTATTGACCTTTCCCAAAAAGAGGGGCTTGCATGCAGTACCATATTAGTGTACAAGTCAGCGGTTGCAACGCTTTGTGACCCCTCTTTAAGTCTCCGTTTAAATCCTGATATTGTAGTTAAGCACGGTTTAAAAGCGATTTCACTAAAATCTCCCAAAATAAATAAATCCCCAATATGGGATACCGATATTTTGATAGCATGGTTACATAATAACAGCCAAAATGAGAATAGTCTTTACGATTGCTCACAAAGGACAGCAGTCTTATTACTATTGTGTTCTGGTCGCCGGCTTCACGACCTCACTCTCTTGGATATAAGCCCCGAAAATTGTATAATGAATAACAGCTCTATAATATTATGGCCAAAATTTGGGTCAAAAACAGACTCTAGTGATAATCGTCAATCCGGTTGGCGGTTGATTGATAACACTAATAGTAAATTTCTAGATCCAGTTTATTGGATTAAAAGAATTATTTTCCTATCTAAACAACGAAGAGAAATATGCAAAAGTAATAATTTATTTCTAACAACCTCTGGTACCCCTAAGGCGGCTACACGAACAATAATCGCGAACTGGGTTAAAAAGATTTTACTGCAAGCAGGTATACAAGCAAGCCCTGGTAGCCTACGACCTGCTGTTGCTTCCAAGAGTTGGATACAAAATTGTAATCTCGAGGATATTTTGTCTAGGGGTAATTGGCGTTCAGAGAATACATTTAAGAAATTTTATTGTCGAGAAATTCGACCAACAACGGTGCAATCCAATTTACAAGGCGTTACTGATTGTTTTACTCCTATTCTATAGTGGTATATCCCACACGGTTTGAGGTTTAGTTTGTATCAGATTCATGTACAGTTTATTTCTTAGTTATAAATATAACTAAAGTGATTTTCCACTTAACTATTTCAATTGTCATGCCAACTAATGTGTAATGTGTGTAAACCATTTAAAAAGAAGGTTGAAATATGTATAGTTGATAATAAATTACTACTGTATTGTTTTTATCCTATTGTGAAATTATATTGAACATAATCTTTGATTGTAAGTCAGAAATAAAATTACTTTATAGTACTTAAGTGTGATTTATTATATAATTATTACTTCTAACTTTATATCATTTCACCAGAGAAATAAATCAAAGAGGAAAAAATTTTAAATGTTTGTTTTATTTTTAATACTAGCTTACTTTCGAATAAATCAATACCCCAAGGTATTATAGGTATTTATGATTAATTTTGTATATAGTAAATATATTTCACTTCATTATTTCTCCTTTAAGCAGTGCGAGCATCTGAAATATTAATTCACTAATGTACTGATGCCACAATCTCTTACGAATTTTCCTGGCCATCTATTATATATTTATAATGTTATTTAATAATTTCACTTCAGTTCTTCTCGTTAGCTCATATTGGCGTTTCTTATTTGATAGCACCAGGCGATAACAAACAGATCTCGAATATGTAGGCTTCGAATAACGGTACATAAGCTTAATAACAGCGTTTTACCTACCAATAAAACGCTTATTAAGCGAGTTACCTTATTCGAAGCCTACAGTAATAGTTCTGCCTGGACATCTGGGCGTTTCGGGTACTTTAAAGACATACAAAAGTAACTATCCACTTTCATCCACATAAACACAAAACTTGTCAAGCACTTCAATACGTGAGTGTAAGTAGGTATATTATGATTACACTTTATTACCCTTATGATATTGAATGATGATTAAGTTCAGTTATCTAAAAGTATCCTCAAAAATAAGTTTTTCTCAATGAGCTTGACCGCTGCCATGCTGGCCCGGCTGCCTGGTGCGAGTAAAAAAGTGGGGACGCCAGAGGCGGGGGCGGATGTGACGTAGTACGTGACGTAAGTATCATGACCGAATTGACACGCTAAGAGGAAACGGAAATGCTACTCTCGAATATGTAGGCTTCGAATAAGGTAACTCGCTTAATAAGCGTTTTATTGGTAGGTAAAACGCTGTTATTAAGGCACACATATCAACACAGAAAGGGATCATCACCGTATCAACTAGAGCCATTCAGTATTCTTTTTATGAAACTCCATACTGTAACGCATACTATCGGAATCGTAACGTAATCGCCTCGACTGGGGACATGCTATCGAACCGCGGTGCGTGGTCAACTTGCAGTTCCAGCGTTTACTCCCGCTGACTCACGTACGGATCCAAACTGATTGAACAGGTGCCGCCTAGCCGTCAACCAGCAGTCGGCGAGTCGTAAGCACGGCGTCGCCTAGCCGTAGACGAGTCGACGTACTGGATCTTCTTATCCGCTTTCACTAACAGACTCAAATATAGGTAGACGCCTGTTGACGGCAAGCCGCTTCCAAGTTGACATGTGTGCCTTTAATCTACTTGTTTCAAAATACTTAGGACGCGATTCCATTACGCACGCCTTACATACAAGTATGATGTTATATTTGGGTACAAGTTGCTAGCATTAAAAATTAGTTTTCGAGAGTGTGTAAATTGCATGCAGGTTTTACTTGGCATACAAGTGGAGATGTTCCCTATTAACTAGGTTAACGTTAGAACGTGCAACTAAGTGAAACGTGCAAATAACGTTTGCGCTTTCAATTTGCGCGTCACTTTATAAAAATACACGCATCTTGCGGCGTCATCATCTATATTAATTTACCTATATTTTTTTTTCGTTTATACAGTATTACATTATAAAGTCACATACAAAAATATCTCTCAAAATTACCAGCTAAATTAAAATTACGAAAATACGAAATCAGCGATAGCTATGTATATATTGTGGCTCCTCTACACCATTGGCCATGATGGGCGATCACGAGATTGTTTTATTTTAATTCTTTTATAAGATAAGAAACCAAAATAGCATCGACTAACTAAACATGGCATGCTAGTAGCAATAATTTACTCCTAGCTGGAAAGCATCACCTGTTTCATTTTTCTTAAAATGACGAAACAGAATAAATGTACTGTTTGTAATTTAAGAGTTTCTTCGTTTGTCTACCAAAGTACTCAACAGATCTTCACCTAATTAATATGGGACCATCTCGCCAAAAAACTTATTTAAACAAAAAACCTGGCCATGAGCGAGTCTATTAGGGTTCCGTGCAGTGAAATAATACTGTTATTGAAGCTACCTAATATCACTGAGTTATGAAATACTGTGTTTTCGAGCTCTATCGATATCTAGATCGCAGTTCGAAATACAGCGCGAAAGGAAAAATCATTTGTTTGTTTTCATCACAACTTACAGAGTATGTTATCAGCCGGCGTATTCAGTATTCGTTGTTTAAATACAGATTTTGAAATTGAAGTTTTGGTATGTGATGTGCATATATCACATTAAACACTACTATAATCAGTACTGCCATGTGCAAAGTTTTAGTTTTTGCTACTGTCAGTCCACTGCAGACGTATCTTGGGCCGAATGTAGTGTCTTAATTAATAAAGTCGACTATAAGTTTCCCGTAATGCATGAAACATTTGATGAATTGAAATACCGTTTTGACAATATTTTCATTGATTTCAATGCTTTGCTGTATAGCAACTGCTATAATAAATGTCGAACGTTTTAGTAATATTACCTTGAAAAATATCGAAAATAGGCGATCTATATAATATGTCCACCACATAGGCTGTCAAAGATATCCTGTTCCTATTGAAAATCCATAGATAAAAAAAAACTTCATTGCCGTGTACACAATGCATGTGGTGGTGACCTATAATTATGATGCAGCTAATCAATTTGTAATTTTATATTGGTGTATAAATTTATGTGAAAGAAATAAATTCTAAGCAAGTATATGGATGGAGATAAATAGAAAACCGACCGTATAATTTCTACAAGTCCGTTGTTAACTTAGTTGCGCTACTACGGTTTTAGCGTTAAAAGTTATTTAGCTATCAAATGTCTGTTACAATGAGTACAAGTGTTGTTAAGCTTGGCATAAATTTCGCGAAGCATCCTCACAAATGTGACACACATTTCGAGCCAACATGATAGCTGTTCCGGCAACTTCTTATTTAATGCGAACTTTTAATGAGCAACCTGGCAATGTTATTACCTAAATTTACCTTCAGTACGAGTATTAATTTATCATTGTTCACTCTAAAGAGTATTGTTATAATTATAAGTACAGTACAGACTATTGGTCTGTTTATTTTTGTGGTGAAAACAATAAGTCATCAGTGGGCGATGTGTCTTAAAAATTACGCTGCAAATGTGCATATCCTGTGACCCAGGCCCTGTGACGACCCTGCCAGAATATTTTGGGATTTAGCTTTGAGAAATTGCGATTTCTTATGCATGTGTAACATGTCAAGCCATATATATATATATATATATTGCTCATCAGTAACAAAGGCGGACTCGAACTATTAAAGTAAGTATTTCTTACCTTGCTGCGCCATCCCTGCGTTTGGTTCCATGCCCATTGGTTCCACGTTTATGCTCTCCGCCGTCTAGAACAAATGCACACATGATTTTGATTATATAGTCCGGTCAAATTAAGACAGAAAAATAATCGTGAAGGTCCATAAATTTATATCTTTAACTAATATATTGTCACATACGCTCTCGACACGTAACCGCGAAAGTGCCAGAGATCGAATTTGCCAGATCACCGCGGGTCGCGATAGAGGTCGAGTAATGCGGCTCATTCTGAAATGAGCCTTATGCAGTGCGACGTAAGGGAGAAAGTGCAACGACATCTGCACTTGTTTACAAGTTATGCGTGTTACCTGCGTAGGTATAAGTAGGTATTTCGTACTCGCGGGTGCTAGGTAATTCTCAATTTAACAGGTACTTTCTAGAATGCGTCGATCAGCGTATATAAGCGCGATTGACGCCGCGCAGAGTCAGTTGACTTTCAACAGCGATTTCGGAGCGAATCCAAAAGCGATCAAAGTGCAACAAAAGTGTTCAAGTGCGATAGTTAAAATACTTGTATAGTGAAATACAGTGTTTAGTGAGTGTTTTGTAATTAACATTGTGTCTTAATTGTGTGGTGAATAAATAACTGTCAAGCGTGAAGTGGCATATAATTTCGAACCCCATCCCGCCACGTAACAATAAATATACAACTTTGAATCGTTAAATCTCATAGTGGCTCTTAGGAAAAAACACATAAATACCTTTTTATAGATATTTCATGATCTAAATTTTTTTTCTAAGTAAATTTTCCGAGAAAACTTACCGTTTTCATAAAAATCGCGAAAACCCCATTTTACCTTTGACCTCAAATTTGATAGGCTGGTGATAAAGTACCAGTTGCAATGATGGTGACTGTGTGTTCCTTACCACTCAGTGAAACAAATCCCACCAACCACCCATGGCCTGGCGAACCTTCTTGGTTATGTAGGCCGAAGCAGCGGGAGATACGCGCGGAATGGCCCCCACCGCGCGTACTTTCTTGACTCCCTACAAATAATACTCTGTGAAACAGTTAACGTTATATAGAGAGTATTTAGCACAGCACGGCTGCACGATGTCCAGGCGGCCGTCGTAGTCGCGTCGCTACAGCGGCACGCTGCTGAGGGTGTCTGTGTGTTCCTTACCATCCAGTTAAACAGTTAACGTTATATAGAGAGTATTTAGCACAGTACCGGCTGCACGCTGTCCAGGCGGTCGTCGAAGTCGCGTCGCTGCTGCGGCACGCTGCTGAGGATGACTGTGTGTTCCTTACCACCCAGTTAAACAGTTAACGTTATATAGAGAGTATTTAGCACAGTACCGGCTGCACGCTGTCCAGGCGGTCGTCGTAGTCGCGTCGCTGCTGCGGCACGCTGCTGAGGATGACTATGTGTTCCTTACAACTCGGTTAAACAGTTAACGCTATATATAGAGTATTTAGCACAGTACCGGCTACACAATGTCCAGGCGGTCGTCGTAGTCGCGTAGCTGCTGCGGCAAGCTGGTTCCTTACCACTCAATTAAACAGTTAACGTTATATAGAGAGTATTTAGCACAGTACCGGCTGCATGCTGTCCAGGCGGTCGTCGTAGTCGCGTCGCTGCTGAGGGTGACTGTGTGTTCCTTACCACTCAGTTAAACAGTTAACGTTATATAGAGAGAGTATTTAGCACAGTACCGGCTGCACGCTGTCCAGGCGATCGTCGTAGTCGCGTCGCTGCTGCGGCACGCTGCTGAGGGTGACTGTGTCCCCGCCCCCTCCCCCTCCGCCAGCGCCCCCTCCACCCCCTCCCGCGCGGCATTGCTCTAGTGAGGTGGGAGGCTCGTCCGTGCGCTCACCCTCCAGAGCGATGCACGTCGAACCGTTGGAACTCTGTCTTCGTCTGCACACAAACAATCAGAATATTGCACCATGCCTCTACTCTAAAGTTGTACCCTTAGCACGAACCAATATCGAATTCGAATAGATTAATTCGATCTTGATACGTGTCAAATTTCAAGAATTTTTGCATGAAAGAGTTTTAATTCTCGTTGCGTCCGCTGTGGCGCTGTTCAAAAGAGATTGCTCAAATTGGCCTAAATGCACAAAAAATATTGACATACACGGTAATTCTGGCGTAATTTATAATTTAATTTACAGTCATCAGATTTCAACGGACACCTTTGTATAATATATTTACTTTAAAAAGGACTTTTAATTTTACCGGTTTAGAAAACATACGAATCATTTTTAATGGCGTAGGGTGTAGAAACATTCAGCCAAAGACTGATCGAAGTTGTTTACATAACATAAAAACAAATCTATTTTGTAAAGATCGATAAAATAAATCATTTTTTTATTACACTGTGGTAATAATATCCGCAACTATATTATCATTTTCACTAGATGCAAATGTGCTTAGATAATTATTATAGATGGTAGGCGACATCATAAATCTATTGCCATACATTTTTCGCCAAACACCTCCATAAACACATTATATTCTGTATATATGTTAGACTTTAAGGTATCTATCTATGGGCCTACGTTCCTTGACTATAAATTAATAAATAAATAAAATTATAAGGTGTGATACACTAAAAATCTAAAATATGGTTATCTTAAAAACAACAAAAATAATGAAGCTACTGAATATAATTATGGCTATAGAACCTAAATCTCTTAGCTTTCTTTGGTTAACGAGAGTTTAAAAATTCTCTCTAATCTGTGGCTCATTCACAATCATCACACGGTTTCTGTAACAGAGTACCTTATTATAAACGGAAATGACACCTGATTTTAAAAGTTACTCTTATGCATTAACTTTAAAAACAGGCAATTATCTGTTAATCTACATGCTCTATATACCTGAATCTAATCCATAATTTCGGTACTTGTCTTGATTTCCCTAGATTACTATTTAACTTATTTGTTTTTTATTATTTTTATATGTTCAGTGTATATGGTTTATAGAAGTTCTCAGGGGTGTCCGTCAATAATATTCGTTTCTACAGTAATTTATATATAATTTCGAATCTAGGAAACAATTTTTCATGATTATTGGTCTTTAGGCCAAACATGTATGGAAGCTGAACAATCTCCTTTCCATTTGACTTGACATTTGACGCGTATCGAGATCGAACTCAAGTATTCGGGTACTGATCTCACATTTGTCAAGCGCTGCATTAGTTGAATGCCTCGGTATTAAAGCTCGCATATTTCACCAGAACTTAAAGCGCCGCATATCGTAAAGGCTAACGTCGACCCGTTGGAACACTGTCTACGTCGGCACACAAACGATATCACAATAATATGAGGCATGGCCTCTACTCTAAAGCCGAGGCGCAAGCACGAATTGTGACAGCTCAGCTTGTGTAATCGTAGCTCATCATCGAAGTTTCTATGATAACTAAGCAGCGCCCCTACTGGACGTATGAACAAACTGGCTCCTTCCATATAAAACTTTACGATGACGATCGTACATTTGTTAACAACGTACGTGCTGCATTTAGAATTAGTTGTATGTAATCATGTGAAACCTCGCATATTCGACCAGTACCGTACCCGCACGAACCAATATCGAATTCGAATAGTTTGCGAGTCCACAATGTCATTGTCAAATGTGTACTGATTTTTAGTTCTCGTTATGTACTTTGTGGCGCTGTTGTTCAAGTTTCCATACAAAATTTGACATTGAAATTTCGCATTCGCAAACTATTCGAATTTGATAATGGTTCGTACTAGGGATACCGTACGCGCGGCATTTCGTAAAGTCTGTATGGTAATTTGGCGCCTTCGGCGCGTATGTAGCAGAAAAATGTACAATCACCTTTAGTACTCTTACAGTCACACTCACACATCAAATTAATTTGTCACTTGTTTAAATAAACTTACAAATAATAACACTACCTTTTCGTGGTACTGTGTTTTTGACAATCAATAGGTTTTCTCAAAAACCTCTCCCACACCATAGAGATTCATAGTTCAACGACTTAAATAATAGGGTTAATGTAGGTAGTGAGGAACATAGATTCTTATATCAAGGGCCTATAAACGCCGCGCGTTGGTAGTGTGACGTCCGAAACGTTACAGCCTCCTTGTTTAGGTAAACTCTTTGCTTTTGCAATGCCTACGGTTGGCAGTTATATTAAAAAGATAATGTCATGATTTTAAGATTTGAAATGAGGAATCGTCTGTCTTTTGATAGAAGGTTCCATTCAAGATTAGATCTTCAGGCACCAAGAACTTCCTCTCGTACTTAGATAAAATACTTTTATATTAGCCTGAATGATAAAAAGAAATAAATAATTTATCTCTATCAGTATTTTTCAATTAACGTCTACGCTCCCAGGTTCTATCCCTTCTGGGTAGAACTCTATATGGTGGAGGCGCCGGGTAGTTTCAAGTACCGCGAGTGAAAAATAATTTTAAATCAAGAAAGAAATAGTTTTATGAAGATGGAGACCAGGACCACATTCGACGGAAAAGGTGATGTAACCGATTTCTTTCGTCAGTTTAATATCATCGCCGCCATCAATAATTTCAACGATGAAACAAAAAGAATTGTGTTGTCGGCATATTTAAGTGGACCTGCATTGTTATTTTATAAAAATATTAATGAGTCTTGTGAGAATTTTCAGATTCTAGAAAAGAAAATTTGTGAGGAATTTCCATCATCGATAAATGCGTTGGAAAAAATTTTCTCACGAAGACAAGGCTTGTCAGAAGAGCCATTGACTTTTTTTTATGTATTGGATGAGCTGGCCACAAAAGCGGGAGCTGTCATCGATGACAAATGCTTCATTAGACAGTTCTTGAAAAATGCGAATTTAAATACAAAAAATCTTTTCGCATTTCAGTTATATAGTGATAAAACACATTTAAAAAATATTTTACGTCAAGCACAGGATATTTTCGGAGAAGAAAGTGCCGAAATTTGTTGGAATCTGCCGATCCAACCATCGTTTGTTACACCAATGACAAACTTCGAAGCGGCGAAAATTTCGCCTATATTAAGGCATGAAGAAGAACAACAGAAGGAGATCAACTTCATTTCCTCCCAAAGTGTCCTTTCTCATCCCATTGTCCCTCCCGAACACATGATTCCCCGCACTTTTTGTTCCAGTAACACGAACAAAAAGAAGTATAAAGCAAAGAGTTTACCTAAACAAGGAGGCTGTAACGTTTCGGACGTCACAGTAGCTACTTATCATCAAGTGGGTTCAATGCTTGTTTGCCATTGTTTTGACATCTTCTTTAAACAAATCTCCCACTGCCTGTCCGCTTACATCTTTTTGGCAATAGCTAGTAATTAAGGGGAAGATTTTAATGTATAATACATGTCCGAGAGCAAAATATAGTGTATACCGAATTGAAGTGAAGGAGAGTCACTTCACTATACCCTATTAAATTTCCTCCATTAGTCACCCCTCGTTATCCATATTTAACCTGAATGATTTTTTCTATTTGGCTTTGCAATTTTACGATCAATTTCAAATAAACTTGGAGGTGTAATTGCTTTATTAATATCAATAAAAAAAAAAACCATAAAACAGGGTTTTCTTTGGGTTGAATTATATAAAGTGACACTTAAAAGACCTAAAACTGTAGCTATACCCAAACATTGGACGCATTATAATACTTACTACTAAATTGAAGAGTCGTGATAAAGTAAATAATTTACGTCGAAATATGTTTTTTTGTTATCAGTCTGGATAACTGGGTCATATTTACTCTCGATAAAAAAGTTTAAGAAACATTGGTTTATTTGTTTAACTTTAGACTCAGAGGAACTTGAATAGAGAATAGTTAATAGTTAGACTTTTTTTTTAATTGACTTAAATAATTGTCATTTTGACATTGCTGTTATTTCAATTTTAACAGTTAAGGTATCCTATGTTACCCGGAATGGTAAAACGATTCTAACGATATCACACACATCTAAATCGGTTCAGGCGTTTAGAAGTTATGGTGGAATAAATAATTATAATAATAAATAGATACATACATGTACCGTGAATACATTACACTAATTTTTTTGGGCAGTCGTGTAAAAATAAAGTTGTGTCTGACCTCTTCCGTCGCGCGGGCGGCGAGGCGGGCGTGGGGTCGGCGAGGTCTGCGCGCGCGTCGCACGAGCCGTGGGCGCGCGTCAGAGACGTTGAGTCCGGCATCTCCGTCAAGCCCTTCACCTTCAGCATCTTGGCTGTGTCCAGCACCTGAGAAGACACGGCCGGATTTAAGGCAAGGCAGGCGGGGCTGCGGCCCATGGCACAAACCCAGCCCCCACAACAGAGAGAATTAAACAAAGGACATCGACGAAATCGGCCCTAGCATGCCCAAAAGAATGTCCTTCACTGTTACTTTCCTATTATTTTTTGAATTTATTAGCAATTAATCATAGTAAACGGATAATCTGTTTAAAAAAATAAAAAATAAAAGTTCTGTTACATACTTATACATATATCCACACCTCCTACGTATAGTATTGTAACCAACAAAATGTGTAAAATTACTTTATTACAGTTTTACATATAATTAATGGTATATTATCGCCGGAACTAATCCAAAAAAATATATCTGCAATAAAACACTAGATAATAAGACCGCAAACTATCGTATGTTCATCTCACCTGATGTAATATGTGGTATAGCACACTTCCCACATTATATGGGGGGGGGGGGGGGAGGGGAGGCATCGCTGAGCTGCGCGACCGAATCGTAAGTGTTAGTAACCATTGAGTACGTGGGGGTGACTGTTGCGCGCTGTTTACGTTTGCATTTTTTGTTATTTAGCACTCTGTTCACATAAAATAATCTACAGTGTTATATTCGAGATCGCGACAAATGATTGAAGCAGCGACTATAAATTATGAGTTGGATTCACAAAAACAGTTGACCGTTCATAATTCAAACTATGATGTTGACGTGTGTACCGACACTACCGACAACGCTGTTGTTGAAGAGTCTATGAGGATTGAGGGTAAATATGTATTTTCTAATATTAAAATAAATATGTTTATATAATAACTTAAAATCGTATAGTTCCCAAAGTAAAATATCGTAAGTATGACTTACTACACTATACTTCTATATCAGATACTTTTCAACTATCTTAAGTGACTACTTACCATACTATACGATGGGATAAAAATATAAATGGTTGTCGTATTTATACTTCCGATACTTTACGTTGAAATGTCAACGTATTTTTCTATTGTATGTGATACTTAGTATATTGTACTCTGTTACAACCAATAATTTACGGTATTATTCTTTCCAAAAAATTGCAGTTTTAAGTATTTTTTATTTTTTTTGCAGAGTGGCCACTTCTGTTCGACGCAAACATTGCAGGAATAAATGGAATGATGGATTTGTTAATTGATTCTGAAAAAATATTTGAAGTAAATAATGTTTCGCTTATGGAACATAGTAAGTAATAGTAAAACTTGCAATAGCGTTCTAATACTATAATGTATTACTTTTACTGTTTTATTTCAGGAAAAAAAATATTGTTATAAAATCACATATTTCGTTCTTCATTTTAGGTCCTGAGTCTTCAGCGATTATTGAAAGCATTGCGCGACATCCTTCGCCAATGTACAATAAATCATCTAGATTTTGATTGTGATAACTAATTCTGTCCCTGGTTTGTTGAAAAAGATATTTCACCACTACAATCTGTTGATGCAACTTAAACTGGTTTGGTTTATACTCCGCAAGCAAACGCCTTTATCTTCTTTCTCAGAAGCGACACCACAAACTTCAAGGAAAAGAAAAAACAACCCAAGAAAGGACAAGGGAAATATCAGACGTCGTCATGTTACTGAATGGTAAGACAACAAAAGAAACAAAATAACAAACTTGGGCAAGGCGTATAAGAGTCGCGATGGCACTGTTAGGTGTGGTAAATCTTTGGGACTTATATGTCATACGAAATACAGATTAAAATTTTCAACTAAAATAGTAGTAATGAGGAGAGAATTACGGGGAGGTTTTGGGATTTAGGTCACCGTGAAAGTCAATAATCGCTGAAGACTCATCATCAGGACCTAAAAAGAAGAACGAAATATGTGATTTTATAACAATATTTTTTGTTGTCTGAAATAAAACATAGTAAAAGTAATACATTATAGTATCAGAACTTTATTGTATTTATTACTACTACTGACTTTGTTCCATAAGCGAAACATTATTTACTTCAAATATTTCCTCAGAATCAGTTAACAAATTTATCTTTTAGAAAGAAACACAAGGGAGATGCGGTTGCTTTGCGGTGGGTTGCTTATTTAAAAAGTATATAGCTAAATACAAGGATCAAGGCACACGTGAATTTCGGTTTTGGTCGGACTATTGTGTAGGCGAGCACCAAAATACCGAATTGGTTATGCTATGTATATGCACGCAGCTATTACGTCACTATCACTATTCATAATTGCTTTTTAGAAGTCGGTCATACCCAAAGTAAAGGTCACGCATTAATCGGGAAAACTGCTAAGAATAAGCTTAATTATACACCATTTCAGTGGTATTGTTTAGTTCGTTGGGCTAAACAAACTGGAAAGCCTTACGTTGTCGAAGAATTGCAGTTTATTAACTTTTTTAATTACAAAGCTTTATTAAAGAGCAATTGGGTGAAAAGCACTAATGGGGCTAAAGAGCAATGTTTTTAATGTAGAAGCACTTTATGAAACCTGTCTGTCTATTCCCAAGGCAAAAAAAATGACTTAGTGAATTATGTTGTGTAATGTAATGTAATGTTTTTTTCCAAAGTTTACCAGAGAGTGACAATAATGTTAATATTAACTCAGATTCGGATTCATTTTTTATAGTGAAAGCTTAAAGCAACTTTTTAAGTAGCTATGTGATTTGTAATTTTTATAGACTGAAAAATTAGACTGATAGTTCTTATGGTAAACAAATAGAAAGTAAAATTTTATTTATTTATTCTTTGGAAGAGATTATTATATTTTTTTGAAATTTTTTAAGAGAATGTGCCATTACTTTTAAGTTTTGGGCTGATTCGTCAATGCTGAAATAAAAAATATTACATGTTATTCATATCAATCTTGTTTTGTTATTGACATAATTATAATTTTTCTTAGATGTGAATTTAACTAACTGATAACCTTTATTCGAGAATCGAAATTTTTTACTAGCTGATGACTTTTATTCGATAATTAAATACTTAGCCCTTTGAGAAATCAATGTTGATTTTGAAGGGTGAGATTGCAAAATATAATAATTTTCAGTTTAATTCAAGCTATTTTATTTTATTTTTTCCTTAATATATTGCTTACGAAGCGATATGTCGGTCGATACCGGTAAATGTAGAAAAACACTCTATTGTAAGTTCACATATTTTAAAAATCACTATTGAGATATCGATGTACGTAATTGTAATTATATCATACGATATTTAACCATTAACACAGTTCAGTGTAAAGTGTGGGAAGTGCATATATACAATAAAATACTACTGATTTTTTCCAATGTAAAAAACCGTATGTGACTTTTAAAGAAATCCACCAAAAAAATCAAGTAATCTTATCAAAGGTAACATTCCAATTATAAATATATAGGCGTATGCCAATTTTGATTCTCGTGCAAGAATACCTGTCTTCGTGGGAACCAATAATGTGCATGCGAATCTTAAAATTTCTGTACTGTAAAGTTGATCAAATACACTTACGATATTAAACGTAGGAGGTGTCGATATATATAGGGTGAAATTGAATGTTTCAATGAAACTTCGTGAGATTGTAGGGTTACGTGTATGTCTGATTTTTTTCGGATTTTTTAAAATTATTTTTTTCGTTTTTTATTTTGTTATTTGTTTTTTTTGTCATTTCTTCCTTATGAGTAATTATTCATTTTAAACAAGTCTACATAGAAGTTGTAAAACAACTTAAAATAAGCACTCCTAAAAAAACAGAAACTTAATGAATGCCTCCAGTCGAGATCAGCGCCGGCCGGGAGCGACGACCGGCGGCCGCCTGTGTAGGTACCTACTACACGCACAGATGACTCGGCGCTTACCTACTTTCCGCTTTGATTCCACAATATTTAAAAAAAATACAATAAAATAGTCTTAGATGCTATATTATAATTATTTATTCACTGATACACAATACCTTTGAATATTATTTCATAAAGCACAGGTAATTAATCAATAAAATAAATCTTCTGTTAGAGCAATTAAAAATCCTATAAAGTTAATATGACTGTCACGATTTTAAATCGGTAAAGCCTGTCTGTTAGTGTAAGAACTTCTTTTTTATTGTTAATTTGTTTAGTTGATCAGATAATCTGAGAGCGATCTTGAGATGCTGTTTTGTATGAACACAGTATCTCAAGGTCGTAGTCTCAGAATTGAGAGCGATCTATTCCGTATTAATTGCCTTTGACGATTTTACTGTACTGTACAGTAGATACGCGCCGCGTCAGCTGTGCGCGATCGTTGCCCCCGGCGTCCGTCGGCCTCGCCTGGCCGCATCCACTATTTTATTCGTTTATTTTAGTAGTGCTTATTTATTTGTTATATTTCACATACTATGAATACGTGTTAAAAAATAATTATTACTCAAAAAGAGGAAAGGACATAAAAATGCACAATTAAAAAAAAGTAAAAACGAAAAAAATAATTATAAAAAATCCGAAAAAATCAGGCATACTCTATAAACGTAACCCAACAATCTCACGAAGTTTCATTAAAACATACAAATTCACCCTATATACACGGTGTTTCAAAATAACCCAAAAAAAAAAAATATTTATCGAAAAATCATATTTAAAATGTCCCATCTCTAGTAATCTGCCGCTAATGTCATTCAACCCAAAATTGTCATTTAAATCATAGATTATCAATTTTCAGACTTGTTGAATTTGCTAAACATTTATACCTTCGCTTCCTTATCAGGTGTAACAAGTAAAAAAAGTTTATAAAAGTGAACCCCACCACGGAAAAAAATCAAAAAAGAAAGGAATGATCAATTACAAGACTCCTCCTATTTATTAGTCTGTTAAAAAGCTTGTGTTATCCAAGTCATTGTAAAGAATTAATAGACACCTTGTTAATTAAAATAAGATGAAATTGTTAAGCACTACGTTTTAATACGTAAATTTACACATACAGTTATGTATGTATTTATGTGTGTATGATCCTTCGCCTGTATGTATGTACATAGAATGGTAAAATGATATCCCTTCCTTTTGGCTT